CAACATTTTTCATTACTGGAAAGAAGGAAATTTCATTTCATTCATTATTGGAAAGAAGTTCTAGAGAGGGTAAGGTTAAAGCTAGGAGACAAACAAGATAAACAGTGATCATGAGAGAGCACTTGGGGTGAGCTGGAAACACCTCAAGTGGCAATCCTCATGTGACAACTCTGAGAGGTCAAGATTAGGAGAATATGTGTGTTAACAGCTTTTTATTTATTTATTTATTAAAGATTTCTGCCTCCTCCCTGCCACCGCCTCCCATTTCCCTCCCTCTCCCCCCATCAAGTCCCCCTCCCTCGCCAGCCCAAAGAGCAATCTGGGTTCCCTGCCCTGTGGGAAGTCCAAGGACCATCCACCTCCATCCAGGTGTAGTAAGGTGAGCATCCAAACTGCCTAGGCTCCCACAAAGCCAGTACGTGCCGTAGGATCAAAAATCCATGGAATATATACATATTAGTGTTAACAGCTTTTTATACCAGAGGTGGTCATTTCCTCCGTTGCATTCTGCAGAAAGGTGGAAAAGAGGAGGAAAGTGATGAGCAAGTATGGTTAGAGGTGGCATGCAAGAAAATTGGAGGGATTCTCTTAGAAGTACCACGCAGCATGAGGTGAATAAGTTAAATGAAGAAACAGATGGGTAGTGATAACAAGACAGTGGAGAAGGCTTAAAATAGTTTTTATAAGGAGAGGAAGGAAGAAATGTTACTAGGTAACCTTGAAAGCAAGTTGAGATTAGAGACCAAGAATTTGCATTAAATCAATTTACTATTTCCTCCAGCATCATTTAGTATTACAACATTGTACAGCCAGGAAAGTAGATATTTAGATTTAGATTTAGACTGACGGCTTGCATTTCACCATATTCATGTTGTCTAAAGGCAACAAATAAAAAGAAAGAAATTTTAAACAGGAATAATTTAAACAATGGATGGTGACATGTAGGTTGAGCAAAAAGCTGAGATGGGGTAGTCTCTATTCTCCTTTTTCATTGACTGGGCTTCAAAGCCATTTTAGTGCAAGTATGAATTGTGTAAACTTTAGTAAATTTTCATTGCCCTGTAGAGCGAACTGTATATGTTATATAGCCTTAAATGAACGACAAGGATCAAAATCATCTATCAGAAGGGAACAAATGTTAAATCTAAAATCCTAAATCCTGGAAACTAAGATTTTAACAGGAAGGTCTTGACAGAGAAAGGTCAGGTATTTGATTATTTGGGATATTAGAACACGCAGTAGGACAACAACAACAGAAAAAGAAATTTTAAATTTATATTTAGTGTAATGCAGGAGGCACACTGCAAATGCTGGTGAGAGCTTTGTATATTGTGCTAGTTCTGGATTAAACTAGTTTGTTGAATAAACTAAAAAGCATAAGAACATGGAGAAAGGAAAATTCAGAAGAACTTGCTAATTGACTTCATAGAAGGAATAAAGAAAAATAATTAAATGTAAGTGGGACAATATTATAATTTGGAAAGGTGGAAAGTAGAAGAGTGTTTATGAGGAAAATATGATGGGTTCTATTTCTATTTGAGGGATCTGTAGTAGTAATTATTAGTTATCTAAGCATTTTAATAGGATTTAGAAGATCAGAAGTAGACCTGAAGATTTGTATTACACTATCATCAACCTAGCTGTTACAAAATCATGAAAACAAATCAAACTTTAAAAAGAAACAGTGGAAAAACCTAAGTGCACAGAAAGGTGTACAAGAAAATATAAGTAAAAATGAATACAATAGGAGAAAAATAATAAAAGACAATCAGAAGCCAGTGAATGAAGCACCATTTTTTTAGTCTTTTGACTAAGATTAAGTTCAAAAGCCAAAGAGTTTCTAGTTGAAGACAATATGAAAATGAACACGCTGTATAAAAATAATTTAGACTTTGTAACAAAAAAGATTGCTGATAAACTCTGAAAGTGAAATTTCTCTGGAAAGGGGAACTAAATCAATAGTGAAGAGGTATACAAAGGAAGAGGTTGCACAGAAGTATGTCACAATAGGGATGTAGCTCATTGGAAAGACCCTTGTTGAGTATGAGTGAGACCCCCTAGGAGCAATTCTCAATACTGCAAACAATGAAAAAAATTAAAAAAAAAACTATGATCAAGGAAACTGTCTAAAAATTTTGACCATGGAAAGAACAAAAAGTTCTAGCAAAAGGGAGCAATTTTAGATTATATGTGTTTTTAAGGCTGGGCAGATGTACCCTCCAGGAAGTAGATAAAGATTGAAATATTTACTATTGAAATATTTACTATTACATGCATGCTCTAGATGTAAAATCTTCTAGTTATTCACCAAATTCATCAAGATGTCAACCAATGAATACAGCCAATAAAGACCTTTAGTTGATTGTATTAGTGTTAGATTAATGCTCAACTACGACAGCTCATGTTTAATCATTTATAATTTATCCTGACAATATTTTTATTTAATTTCATTTTAGAATGGATACCTAAGAGTTTATATAGCAATATTAATGACTAGATTATATACAAACAAACTCAATTTGGGGGCTTTGAACGCTAATATCTAATGCTTCAAACAAATAGTTTTAAGCCAGTGATTCTCAACTTGTGAGCTACGGTCCCTTTGGGGATCACATATCAGATATCCTGTATATTAGACATATACATTATGATTCATAACATTAGCAAAAATATAGGTATAAAGTATCAACAAATACATGTATGGTTGAGGGTCACCACAACAAGATAAACCATTCTAAATGGCCACAGCGTTAGGAGAACCACTGTTTAAGCCTTCATCCTTAGAAGTCCTCTTTTTGTCTGGCTCTTATTTCTGAATGAAAAATGTATAGCTCATCCTAAATTTATGATCATAAGTTATTTAACTGAACCTCAAGTATATAAAATTATTTTGTAACTGAAGAGAAACTTAGTTTTCTTCTTAGAGAAAACTAGAAAATTTGAGGAGAAAAGAATGGGTAGTTGTTCTATTGGAAAATAATTTCTAGTTTTGTGCACCTGTCTTCATTTTGTTTCTCCTTTAATACAGTTGGAGAAGTGAGAGAGGTGAAGCCATTGGACTTGGAAAATTTCAATTATAGTTTGAGCTATGCTACTAAATTACCTGTGGACACTTCTTTGTATTTAGGTTTTTCATTTGAAAGTAGGAGTGATGATGCCTGCTTTGTAAAATTTTGAGGATTTAATGACATATTATGTATACAAACATCTAACACATTTTTCTTCTTAAGTTTTTATCTTTGAATCTAAAAACTCCTATAAGCCACAAATCCTAAAGCTAACTCTTAAGTTAGATCATAGTTACCAATAAGCACAAATTTAGTGGCTTTGGTAATTGAATTTATCAGCTAATGTAATGAAATGTGCTCAAAGAGTAACTTTGAAGAATGAAGGTGAAAAGGCACCATCTTACAATCGTAACAGTATTTGTTTTCAATGGGGCAGGCCTTTATTCTTCTATTACTTTACATTATTGGAGATATTTGTGAAGGAGGGAGGTAGACAAACATTAGGTTGATGGAGGAAAAGATTTTGTCATTTATACTATCCTTACAATGAAGGTTGGCCTTTCAGAAGTTTTTTCACATTCCCTCTCACCACCAATAATTCCTTAAAATAATGAAAGTTATCATAAGTTTTGTTATTTGCAGTCATTTATATGAATATAGCAATGGCAAAAATTTATAAAATCATTTTCTTTAAAGCATTTTAGCTAAAATATTTAATACTTGATTGATTATAACAATCTCCAATCAAATGTTAGCTGCTTTTAATCTTTTTTAAAAAGATATCAGCAGAGTATAAACTATAAATAAATAAATAGAATATAAACCTGTCTTATTTAAGCGGGGGTGGTGGTTCACAGTTTTAATGTCAGCACTTGAGAGGCTGACAGGATGATTGCTGTGAGTTTTAGGCCAGTCTGACCAACATAGTAGGACCCTGTCTCAAGATTAAAAAGCAAGGGGATAGAAAGAAACACAAGGAAAGATGAAGTAAAACATTTTAGTATTAAACTTGTGGTCTGTCTTACTGTTCTAGACTACAATTTAATTTACCTACATCTCTATTGCATAACAAAACTCTCAAACACTGTTTCCTTTTTATTTCTTTTTTATAGTGCTGAAGATCAAGTATAGGATCTTGTGCATTCTAGATAAATATTCTACCTTTGACCTATAGCCCTAGCCCTTGGGCTTTTGGAGACAATATTTTACTATGTAGACCAGGTCAAACTCAAACTTTTAATCCTCCTGCCTCAGCCTTCTGAGTATTAGAATTATAGGCATGTATTATGATGCCGTGTTCCAAGTATGTTTTAAATTGGGTAAGAGTTCAATCTATTCTTGTCCTTGACACTTTTGTATGTTGATAAAGTAATAGATTGGCTTATTAAGACAATATACATTTAATGCTAATGATATACTAGATGTTGTCAGTAGGGTTCAACATTCAAATTGATTACTCATGTTGATATTTGTAACATCTAAATGCTGTATAATTAGAGAAAATCTAGTTATTGGTAGAGGGAAACTAGCCAACTGGCTGGTGGCCAAGAAGGTCTGAGCCGGGTGGAAGAGTATATTTATGACAGGAACTGCCCAGGGATAGAGACAGTTCTGAGATGGGAATGCCAGGAATTTAAATAAGAAAGGGTAAATGAATGTCCCAGGAGGAAATAAAGGAAGAGGGAATAATGTGGCCTATTTTCTTTTTCTGAGTCTGAGGGACATGTTAAAGCTTGGTTTGTAGGGGTTAGGCTGTCATTCACCATTTCTTCTTCATTCTGTCCCTCTTTTCCAAGAAAAGATGCAACTTATGAGTTGCTGTATTTTTAGAGAATATACTACAGAATCTCTAAAGAGCAGGGATTAAGGTGAGATTTCAAATTTTGAGAACTTCTCCAACCCTGTGCCCCTTCCTTCCTCATGTCTTAAACTGCTTGCTATGTTCCCCAGTTCTTTCACTGTTTCACCCCAAGTCATATTTTTTTTTTTCAGATTGTACTACACCGACTTTGAGGCATGATGAATTCTAGAAGGACACGACGTAGAACATCTGGCCGTAGGGTCAACTCTAACTTGAGCCTGTGTTGTTGCCTTCCATTGTTTGAATGTCGTCGACGATCCAAAAATCAGGTAAAAATCTATAGAAATATGGTATTGAGTTTTGTTAGGCTATAACTAAATGGCAGAAGAGTGAGCAATGTACAATGTCTCAGTGTCATGACTGTGTGCAAAGAGCAGTATGACATTTGTGACTTTGTTTAAAGAATTTATACATGTTCAATCAGTTCTGCCTTTTCAGAGCTGGGGGTTGGGGTAATGGGTTAAGTTTGGGATTCCAAACAACTTTGACAAGCTGATGTGGGTAAAAATAAACATGACAAAGTCTATTAAAGGCAAACTCAAATCCAGAGGAATACCAGATTACAGAAATAAATACAAGATGGTCCTGAACTGGTTATGTATAAATATAACAAATAATTGTGTAGAGCCCTTAAGAAGTATAGGTCAGACATGCCAATAATAGAATGATAGAATGTCCTACGATCACAAACAATGAACATGGTTTTGTGTGTGTGTGTGTGATATAATCTTGACATATTCTGTATCTAAGTTTTTATTGTGCCTTTCATAAGGAGTAACGTGCTCAATTTCTGCATCTATGACCTATCTATGTATATATGGAGTATTTGGGCAAGGTATAGGGAAAACAAGCCAAAGTGTTTCCTTTTAAAAGAAATCATTTTAAAAAATGTCCTTATAAAATTCAATTAAAAGATCTGAAGGGTTAACTTAATCATAAGTCTTCAAAGAGTTGGAGAGATATTAAATGAGGGTAGAAGGAATAGATTAAACAGCCGCTAAACATTTCCTCTCAAATAAGTCTTGCGATGATTAATACAGTACAGCAAGTCAGAAGATGATTTTTACCATAGCATAGTTCTCACTTCAAAACACTGAAAAGTTATTATTATTTGAAAATAGGTGAAAAATTTCCCCTTTGAGCTCTGTCAGAATTAAACAAAAAGCTACCATTATGAAATGATTTTAGTACAGAATGGTCATATAGCAAAGTGGACAGTCTATTAGTAGATTTTTGGAAAGCCTTTTAAGTAGTATAAGTCTGTTAAATAAGGTTCATTCACCAGTTCAAAGGGGAAAATTGGATTCCTAAACATCCATTTTGTTTCTCATTATAATTTTGATAGCATTTGCCCTTGGGTGTTTTTAAACAGCTTCATAGACTTTAAGATTTCCCAGACCTCTTTTACATTTGTAAATATTTAACACCAACCTTCCCCCACCCCCTGGTTTCCAGTATGCCTACACATATTTCATTTGTTTATCCTAACTTCCAAGACTGTGTTCATGCAAAATAAAAATATGTGAAAATATTTCTAGTTAACAATCACCTTTCTGTTTTACCAGATTACTCTTGTTTGTACTTAGATTTCTACTTTCATAATTTTTCTCTGTATGTAAAACAGATGTTTGTGACAATTTGTTGAGATAAATTATGCTGCTAAGACGCTATAATTTTTATTCTATATAGACATAAATTCTTTAATCATTTATTTTAAGAGATAAAACCAGAAATCGGAAAAAAGAGGCCATTTTTAGTGTGCTATTAACTCATCGAGTGCATGTGATTGGAAGCTAGGGTAGGCATACTGAAGTGATGTTTATTTTTCTTTCTCCAATTTCATCATAGATATGACTAAATGTACCAAGGTTGCATGACCAAGCAACTGGTAATTTCAGCCAATTAGCTACTTGTTTTGGCTTAAAGATAATCAACATTCATTTTGACATTTTTTTTCAGTAAAATGTTCAGTTGAAATTTCACTCAATTACTTACTTCACACAAAGTGAAGTGGAGAATTGAAGCAATTATCTACATGATTCAAACAAAAAGATGACTTCTTTGACCTCAATTATAGTACCTGTATATTTTAAGCAAACTATGAGTTTTGCTTGAAAACTGGAAAAATGTTAGTGTTAAATATTTACAAATGTAACATTTATTCAGAAAGCTGCTTGAATACTCAACTTCTCCTTCAGTTTATGTGGCCTGAAAGTTAACTGAAACTAGTGATAATTAATGAAATGAGCAATTCACTGATTTTTTATAAGGAAGATATTGTTTGAAAATAAGTATGAATTTAAAATTTTTTGTCATGAGAACAAGCTCATTAAGAAAGAGGGAAACATGACAGACTCAAGATGTCTGTCTTACTTACTGTTACAATTTTTCCTAAAGGTGTTCGATAATGAAAATGGGACTCTAAAATTAACATTTGAAGTGGAAGAAAGGCAAACATGTGGAGCATACTAATAAGCAGCTACAAACAGGAAAGGCTGAATAATTACATGGCCCCTTCCACATTGCAAACATGTATTTTTATTCCAACATCAGTTAATTGAAACTGTGAACAGAAATGAAGCAACAGCATTCTTTTATAGCTGCAAGTGGTTTACAGCAGTAGAAAGTGCAACATAATTAATTTTTTATCATTACTTAGAAAAGCAGGAATCCAGGAAGGCAGATCAACTGTGGCACAAGTTACAGATTCAGTGAATTTTGAATTTTAGAATTGATGGTATATTTAAACCAAAAGAAACAGGCCATATGACTATTTGATTTTTGGCCACATGTGATCAGACAAATCAATGGCAAAATAGATATTCATTAAAATAACTGGAATAATTAAGCATTTATAGAATACCCTTCATCATCACCTCCCTCCCCGTCCCAAGTAGTGGTAGACATTATCTTTTATAATTCTCAAAAGTATTCCACATAATACATATAATAATTAAATAAGGTTAAAAATTGAAATAATGAAAGCTAAGACAATAAATGTGACCAAAGTTACATGAAATATGGGGCAAAACATAATTTGCATACAAGTCTCTCAGTAGCTACATCATTCTGCTACCTGCTTATCAGAAAAGGGGTATAAAAGAGTTTCATCAAAAGAATTATTAATTAGTGGAAATTTAAAAATGAATTTCTTATTTTATGACAGTTTATTTTGAAATCTAATTTGGCTCATTGTCATTCAGAAAATCTTTAAGCTGAGCCGTGGTGGTGCATGCCTTTAATCCCAGCACTTGGGAGGCAGAGGTAGGCGGATCTCTGTGAGTTTGAGGCCAGCCTGGTCTACAAGAACTAGTTCCAGGACAGGCACCAAAGCTACAGAGAAACCTTGTCTCGAAAAATTAAAAAAAAAAAAAAACAGAAAATCTTTAAAGATTTTGTACTTAACTTTTCATAGTTGTAGAAAAATTTGCAAATCCACAAATATGTTTTGTTGTTTCATCTTTCTATAGATGTAATAGCATCAGTATCATTTTTTAAAAGTAGTAAAGAAAAGAAACATGTATAAAGGCTTATGTAATCAATATAAGTACATACATGATAAAAAGTATACTCATTGATTAAATTTATTTGGAGATAAGCTAGTATACTTCATCGTGATGCATGTCAGATCCATGCAATGGCAACAAAGAGTCGACAGGTTGGTAATTATTTTAAATTTATTTTTATGTGTATGAGTGCTTGCCTGCATGTATATATATTCACCTTGTGTCTTCCTGGTATATGTGGTAGCTAGAAGAGGACTTCAGTTACCCTGAAACTGAAATTATGGAATGTTGTGAGTCACTATATGTGTATTGCAAAGGAACCTCAGGTCTCAGATCTTCTGTAAGAGCGTCAAATGTTCTTAATTGTCAAATCATCTCTTCTTCCCTGAGCCTTGCAATTTTATAGCTTACACTTTACTTGGGGAATTAAATAATAGTCAAGTGATTTCACAGTAGGTAAATATATACAGACGAAGTGTTATGAAGAAAATACATGTGATACTAGCTAGGCGGTGGTGGCACACACCTTTAATCCCAGCATTCGGGAGGCAGTGGAAGGCAGATTTCTGTGGGTTCGATGCCAACCTGATCTACAAACCCTGTCTAGAAAAACCAAAAAGAAAAATACATGTGATACTAAAGGAACAAAAAAAAAACCAAAAAAACAAAAAACAGAAATTCTACTTAGTTTGTCAAATAACAAGTCTTAAGAGGGAATTCAAGTTGAAATTGCCTACCACAGAAACATAGCAGTCATTAGGAGTAGATACAGAATGAAACAGTGAGATAAAGGAATGATAATATTGTTGTAGTAATACAAAATAGAAATAAATACCAGAAGATGATGCTAGGATGTAATATGCAGATACCAGTTCCTACCAGAATTTGTATGCTTCTGAATTTAGATTTGGTCTTGACTGTGATAATTTATGTTTGAATTTTTTTTTTATTGAGAGAAGGAGAAAAAAAAAACAAGTTTCCACCTCCTCCCAGCCTCCCATTTCCCTCCCCCTCCTCCCACCCTTCCCCCCCTCCCCCAACTCCTTTCCCCCTCCCTCTCCAGTCCAAAGAGCAGTCAGGGTTTTCTGCCCTGTGGTAAGACCTAGGACCTCCCCCCTCCGTCCATATCTAGGAAGGTGAACATCCAAACTGGCTAGGCTCCCACAAAGCCATCACATTACGTAGGTTCAAAACCCCGTGCCATTGTCCTTTGCGTCTCATCAGCCCTCATTGTTCGCCATGTTCAGAGAGTCCAGTTTTATCCCATGCTTTTTCAGTCACAGTCCAGCTGGTCTTGGTGAGCTCCCAATAGATCAGCTCCACTGTCTCAGTGGGTGGGTGCATCCCTCGTGGTCCCGACTTCTTTGCTCATGTTCTCCCTCCTTCTGCTCCTCATTGGGACCTTGGGAGCTCAGTCCAGTGCTCCAGTGTGGGTCTCTGTCTCTATCTCCATCCATCACCAGATGAAGGTTCTATGATGATATGCAAGATATTCGTCAGTATTGCTCTAGGATAGGGTCATTTCAGGTTCCCTATCCTCAACTGCCCAAGGAACTAACTGGGGACCTCGGCTTGGGCACCTGGGAGCCCCTCTAGGGTCAGGTCTCTTGCCAACCCTAAAGTGGCTCCCTTAACTAAGAATTATGTTTGAATTTTTAAAGCTAGGATGTAACATGGCCATCTATATCCAACCAAATGAAAGTATTAGGAAAGTTATATTACCCTTATTTCAAAGCCAAATCTAAACCTTTAGTTCTAAGATC